GATGAAAGCTTTGGTGATATCCATGGAGAGAAGAGTGGTTTCTTGAAAAGGAAAGTGTATGGAGAAGGTGGCAGCCAAGAACACATGAAGAAGCTATGTAGAAAATCAGAAATCTGACCTAGATTTATGTGCAATGGCTATTTATATAAGTATGCCCATTAATCCACAATATTAGTTCTAATAGTTCCGCTAATTATTTTTCTACAAAACTTTAGATTCTGAGCCTAGCCATTTTTCTAGGAATTATCATATTTTTCTTATAATTTTCGCAGCGCTTTTCTGGTACGCATTTTATACATAGCCGGTATTAGTTCTAACATCAACAGTCATTATTCTTACTCCAAACTTGATATCCTTAACCTAGATATTTCTCTAGGAATATTTATATTTATATTATAATTTTTTGAAACACTTTACCGATACGCAGTTATACCGTGAAGCAAAACTGATATCAGCACTTTTCATTAGAAAAGCGACTTTAAACGTTATTTGATTTTCTAAATAATTATCTTATCATAATTATGCATACTCTTTATCATATCTATGCTCCGACATTGATAATCTTATTTAGTTAATTATTTAACGGTGCAGGTTCTTACACTTGACTGGCGACTACACTGATCTTGGAGAGAAAGAAAGTCACTAGTGACCGCTGCCATCACCGCAACCCGCCGACCACCACGCTGTTAGCATCGCCTCGCCGCTGGTCCATCGCGAGCTCCACCATCGCGCCACTACACAAGCCACCTTAACAACTCATTGGTCTTCTTCGTTGTGTTGCTACACTACAAGTAAGCTGCCTCAAAACTTTTCGGTGGTAGGGTCTTTGTGTTAAGTTTCAATATGTGATATTTGGGGTTGGTTTTGTAGGCAAAAGCACTGTACTATCATTTTTTTGCAAAAATTTCTCATGTTCAAAGTACATCTGAAAAGTTTGGCCAGGGTAGAGCAGTCAAACGCGTCAACTAACATGATACATTCAATCTAGTCAACAAACAAGACGCGACTCGGATCCAAGTCAGCAACCTGGAGCAGCTTCATGCCACGTGGCATATTCTGCTTGAGTCCTGTCAACATATGTGACAAGACTACTCGCGTCAAATCAATTCGCACCACGTGGCTAATCGCGTCACCACATGTTTAGTAAATGGATTTTTATCCTATGGTTAAAATTTAATTAAAATAATAGATATATACTAATTATAATTAATATTTAATTATTTATTTACTACCTCATTATTTTCTTAATTATGGGCCTAAATTATAATTAATATTTAATCATTTCTATACTAATTCAAAGTTTCATAATTCAGTTTCCAAAAAAAAAAAAAAAAACTTCATAAATTATATTTATTATTTAGCCTAAACACTAATTGTAATTATTAAGTAATTATTGCATTACTAATTTAATTTTTTTAGTAAATGATTTTCTATCCTAGGTTAATATATAATTAAAATAATAATTATATACTAATTATAATTAATATTTTTTATTTAATTATTACTTTATTATTTTCTTAATTATGGGGCCTAAATTATAATTAATATTTAATCATTTCTATACTAATTCAAAGTTTCATAATTCAGTTTCCCAAAAAATAAATTCATAAATTATATTTATTATTTAGCCTAAACACTAATTGTAATTATTAAGTAATTATTGCATTACTAATTAATTTTTTTAGTAAATAGTTTTCTATACTAGGTTAATATTTAATTAAAATAATAATTATATACTAATTATAATTAATATTTAATTATTTAATTACTACTTCATTTCTTAATTATGGGGCCTAAATTATTATATTATTTAATCATTTATATACTAATTCAAAGTTTCATAATTCAGTTTCCCAAACAAAAAAATGTTCATAAATTCTATTTATTATGAGTTTGTTTTTTCTGATGTTATTCTAGATAACTTTATCTAATGTTCATGAAAACGACGACGTTTTGAGACGGAAATCATGGTATTTTTGTAATTTTAATTTATTTCAGGGTTATAATAGTCTTTATCACTCTAATTTTTAATTTTTCAACCTCAAAACAACGTCGTTTCGATGAACATTAGATAAAGTTATCTAAAGTAACATCAGAAATTTTTTTCCCATTTATTATTTAGCCTTAACACTAATTGTAATTATTAAGAAATTATTGCATTACTAATTAATATTTTAGTAAATGGTTTTCTATCCTAGGTTAATATTTAGTTAAAATAATAATTATATACTAATTATAATTAATATTTTTTTTGTTTAATTATTACTTCATTATTTTCTTAATTATGTTTTCTAAATTATAATTAATATTTAATCATTTCTATTCTAATTCGAAGTTTCATAATTCAGTTTTCTACAAAAAAATACAAAAATTATATTTATTATTCAGCCTAAACATTAATTATAATTACTAAGTAATTATTGCATTACTAATTAATTTTTTTAGTAAATATTTTTCTATCCTAGGGTTAGTATTAACTAAATATAAATTAGTAAATAAATTGTTAATATTTTTCTATCCTACGGTTAGTATTAACTAATATAAATTAATTAATCTGAGTCTATTATGAAACTTTGAATTAGTATAGAAATGACTAAATATTAATTATAATTTAGCCCCCATAATTAAGAAAATAATGAAGTAGAACTTAAATAATAAAATATTAATTATAATTATTATATATCTATTATTTTAATTAAATATTAACCATAGGATAGAAAACCATTTACTAAACATGTGGTGACGCGATTAGCCACGTGGCGTCAATTGATTTGATGCGAGTAGTCTTGTCACATATGTTGACGGGACTCAAGCAGAATATGTCACTTGGCATGAAGTTGCTCCAGATTGCTGACGTGAATCCAAGTCACATCATATTTGTTGACAAGATTAAACGCGTCATGTCACTAAACACGTTTGACTGCTCTACTCTGACTAAACTTTTCAATGTTATTTGAATATGAGAAATTTTTGCAAAAGAATGATAGTACTATACTTTTGCCTAATTTTGTGAATTTTCTCTTTAAAAAATAAAAAATACCCAAAAGGTCGACTTGGTCACTTAAGCCCAATGACCTGGGCTGATGTTTTTTTGTTAAAAATAATGGGGTTGTTAGTTTTATAATTTAATGTAAGGAATTAAAAAATATAAAATATTCTAAAAGTAAAAGTTAAATAAATAATGCAAAAAAATAAAAATAAAAATAAAACATGACATTGAAGAAGATGGTAGGCCCTGTTCACATTCATTATATTATATAAGTTTTCATTCTATAATTTATTTATTGGCAAATATATAGATAAATTATTAATTAGAAATCAAATGAGAATAAAATAATATATGTTTCGTGTGTGGCTTTATTGGTAGGCTGTCTTTATGGAATTTTTATTGACAATAATGTGATGCGATCAATAATTTGGTAGGCTTTAATGGCAGGCTGTCTTTATGGAAGGTTGCATCGCCGCTCAAGAGGAGAAAAATTAAGATAGACCCGGTACACCATAATTCAGTGTTCTATTTTTTAAAATAATAAATTTTTTATGACATTTTTATTCCTATCATTTTAGGTATTTCCTTCCATGTCCTAGTTTTTGTTTTTTTTTTAGAAAAAGGTGCATTGCACCGGGTGCATGGTAACTTTTCTCGCTCAAGAGGGATAGGGTGAGTGATTTTTTTTCTTCTTTTAGTTCAATAATTGAATTGTTTAGTCATTATTGGTCACTGTTCCCACTTTAGGTATTAAAAAAAGTTTGTTTTTTCTATTCTTAATATATAAATTTATTTATATTGAGTTCAAAATAATATTATTTTAGAGCAGAAATTAAAGTATTTTTATAGATATTTTATTTATATTGAGTTCAAAATAATATTATTTTAGGGCAGAAATTAAGGTATTTTTATAATTATTTTATTTTAAAATTATAATAATTTTTTTATTATGATTTTTTTATTTTTCAACTCAAAACGATATCATTTTCGAAGCGAATATAGATAATTTATTAATAGAAATGTTAAAGTAAAAAAAAAAGCACGTGAGAAAGCATTGTACGATTAACTGAGATGGGTCAAAGCTTCTAATCTCATTCATTGTTATGCATTTCAGACCAGTCAAAGAAAGCACATGGTACGATTTAGACTAATCTCTCTTATTCGCTCAAATATTATTTTTATTGAAACATATATTGTTTTCAAGTTACTATTTTTGTCTAAATACTAAATAGTCAACAAAATCCGATATAATTAGTAGATGATTGAGTCTCTTAAATATATTGACAGTGATTTGATTCTTAACTGTATATATGAAAAAGACTTTGTTGATATAAGTAAAATCTCATATCGATGATTTATACGTTTCTAAAAGATTAATCTTCGATTATCCATTGACCGAGGAAATTCAAAAAAATAGTCAAACTGTACGTAAGATTTTCACCTAAACAGAGCGACATTTGCTAAAAAATAAGACAAACCAAAATAATATAAAAAGCATATGTCTATGAATTATATATGAGAAAAGTGTGCTTACTTTTAAATGACGTAAATTTAAATTTTTTAAAAGAGAGATAAATATAAAGAGGTGTGAGTTTCACTAAAAAAAATACGAGTCTCACCTTTTGTGTCTATTTTTCTTTTAAATGAACATAAATTTGTGTCATTTAAAATGATAAATACTTTTTTCATTATATATAAAGTTTATTTTTTCTCGTATTGTAAGAGATAAAGCATTGGTACAGTAAAACACTTGGTCATGCATAATATAAAAAGGCTTTAATGTTTCTACCGTAAATCAAATAAGTTATTTATATTTACTCTCATGTTTTGAGTTAAAAGATTAAAAAATATTAAAATAAATTATAATTATAAAAATATTTTATTTTCTGCCTCAGTAACGTTATTTTGGACTATAATTTATCCGCATTCAATTCAGCAAAAACGAACCCCGTGAGAAACACTAAATCCTTCATCCTTGTATATAGCTATAGGCCAGAGTGTCAGAAATGCAATGGAGAGGAATAAGGTGCTAGTTATGTGCTGTGTATTATTCTGCTTCATGCCCACGTTATCTAAGAATCAGTCTATACAAGATGATGAGACACTTGTTTCAGCAGGGAGAATTTTCGAAGCTGGATTCTTCAGCTTTGGAAATTCACAAAGCCAATACTTTGGTATATGGTACAAGAGCATATCACCAAGGACAATTGTGTGGGTAGCCAACAGAGATACCCCAGTTGAAAACTCAAAGCCAATTCTGAAGCTTACTGATCAAGGAAACCTCCTTATTCTTGATGGCTCAAGAGGTATAATCTGGATCTTCAACGCAACAAGAATTGCTGAGAAACCTTTCATGCAGCTTTTGGACTCAGGAAACCTTGTTGTGAAAGATGGAGAAAATGGGGAGAACCTTTTGTGGGAAAGCTTTGATTATCCTGGTGACACTTACCTTGCAGGAATGAAAATTAAGAGCAATTTGGTTACGGGTTCATATAGATCTCTCACATCTTGGAGAAACACACAAGACCCTGGTGTTGGTGATTTTTCATATCACATAGATACTCGTGGCTTTCCTCAACTAGTTGTTACAAAGGGTGCGACTGTAATATTCAGAGCAGGACCGTGGACTGGCAATATGTTTTCAGGTTCTTCTTGGCTTAGATTGCAGGAATTGTTGAAATTCTCTTTGCAATTTACTGACAAGGAAATCTCTTTGGAATATGAAACCTTGAACAGTTCAATTGTTACTAGAGCAGTGCTTACCCCATCAGGTATTACACAACGTTTGGTTTGGTTAGATAGAACTCGAGGTTGGGAGATTATATCTACTCATCCCATGGACCAGTGTGAATATTATGCCTTTTGTGGTGCTAATTCAAAGTGTGATACTGTTAACTATCCAATATGTGACTGTTTGGAAGGTTTCACTCCCAAATTTCAAGCAAAATGGAATTCATTAGATTGGACTGGTGGGTGTGTTAGAATACAAAATTTAAGTTGTCAGAATGGAGATGGCTTTCTGAAGCACACAGGAGTGAAGTTACCAGACACGTCTTCTTCCTTGTTTGACAAGAGCAAGAGCTTTGATGAATGTGAGACATTATGTTTGCAAAACTGTTCTTGCACAGCATATGCATATTTAGATGTTACAGTCGGTATGAGTGGTTGCTTGATTTGGTTTGGTGACATTTTGGACTTGAGAAAACACACTGACCAAGGACAGGATATCTACATACGAGTGGCTGCTTCAGAGCTAGGTATTTTCATTTACCATTCCATCCATTGCTTTGCTTTTTCATTCAAACATAACATCAACTATACTTTTCAGCATTTAGTTGACCTTCTACTTTCAAAAGCCACAATTGATGACGGAATAGTCTTTTAAAAACCATCCTCATTACTATTAGAAAGTAGGACATGAAAGAGCAAGGGTGTTGTCCTGGTTAACATAATGCTCAAGAATAATTAGAGGGACACGCTAATTGGAATTTCGCTCTGCTCCAAGATATAAACGCCTCCTGTCTTGTCATAATTGTGACAGTAATAAATTGTGTTTTTAAGATATCTCTACTATTTAGTGGAACATTTAGTTACAATCAGCTTCCAAACTGAATGCTTGTTTATTGACTACCAATTCTCTTAATTTACAGATCATAGAAAGAGTAAGAGGAACTTTAATAGCAAGAAGCTTGCAGGGACTCTAGTAGGAATCATTACATTCATCATATGCATAGCAATCCTTGGATTAGTCAAATCCTCTTGTATACAGAGGAAGAAGAATGAGAAGTCAGGTGACTTTGTCATAAGTAAACTTTCACTCTTTATGATGCACTCTTCATTTTATAATCGAAACATAGTTATTGAAATGACAAGAAGTATTCTTCAATTCTGAAGCCTGATTTCTTTTCCTTCTATTTTCTTTTTCTTTATTTACATTATAACTACTAATAAACTGTTAAATATACTATATCCATATATCTTACCATTTCAGGAATTATAAATCATTGCAACGACAAGGGAGGGGAGGAAGACATCAATTTGGCAATAATATTTGATTTTTCATTCATCTCTAATGCCACAAATCACTTCTCACAAAGTAACAAATTAGGAGAAGGTGGCTTTGGACCAGTATACAAGGTAGTGAACCTTAAATTTATTCAACAAATCCTTCAATACAAAGGAATTTTTACCAAAGTTTTAAAATTTCCAAAACTATTACTAGGGCTTATTAGCAGGTGGACAAGAGATTGCCGTCAAGAGGCTTTCAAATACTTCTGGACAAGGAACAGAGGAGTTCAAAAATGAAGTCATGTTGATGGCAAGACTTCAGCACCGCAATCTTGTAAAGCTTCTTGGTTGTTCTATTTTTCAAGATGAAAAGTTGTTGATCTATGAATTCATGCCTAATAGAAGCTTGGATTACTTTATTTTTGGTTTGACTTTTCACCTCACTTAAATTTATTCATCTTTATTTGCACTTCTGCAATCATGTAGTTGCCATGCTAACTAAATATGTAAAATTTGTCAGATTCAATGCAAAGTAAACTATTAGATTGGAATAAGCGGTTCCAAATTATTGATGGGATTGCTCGAGGGCTTCTTTATCTTCACCAAGACTCAAGACTAAGAATCATCCACAGAGATCTAAAGACTAGTAACATTCTTCTTGATGATGAAATGAACCCAAAGATATCAGATTTTGGTTTGGCTAGAATATTTAGAGGAGACCAAGTTGAAGCCAAAACAAAAAGAGTGATGGGCACATAGTAAGTACTTCTCATGGCTTAGTTAGGTTTCACTATGTTGCAACTCTTTTAAACTGTCTCTTTTTCAACTTCAATGTTGTTGTGCAGTGGTTATATGCCTCCAGAGTATGCTGTGCATGGATCTTTTTCAACCAAATCTGATGTTTTTAGCTTTGGTGTAATTGTACTTGAGATAATTAGCGGAAGGAAGATTAGGGGATTTTGTGACCCGCACCATCATCTTAATCTTCTTAGTCATGTAAGCTTAAAATATATCCTTTCAAAATTATGTCCTCATTATCTCATCAAATAACTTTGCTGTGTATCTCAATAAAACACTTTAGGATATGCTTGTTTGGAAATGTGTAAAAACAAGGAGGTAAAACTAGAATAAGAATTGAACACAAACTTGTTTATGGCTTTTATGTTTCAGGCATGGAGACTATGGATTGAAGAAAGACCCCAAGAGCTGATAGATGAGTTATTAGCTGATTCAGTTATCCCATCCGAAATATTGCGACTTATTCATGTGGGTCTATTATGCGTACAACAGAGACCAGAAAATAGGCCTAACATGTCATCTGTGGTTATAATGTTAAAGGGCGAAAAAGTACTCCCAAAGCCAAGCCAACCCGGGTTCTACACAGGAAATGATAATCCACTTTTTTCTGAATCTTCAAAAAATTGTGAAAGGTGTTCAACAAATGAAATTTCCATCTCATTAATAGAGGCAAGATAGAGTACCACTGTGCTTATGGAGCTACATAGATGAAATGATATGTGGCCAAACTAACAAGGTACCAAGTTTACAAATGACAGACATGTCATTCAGTGATAAGTGGGAATCGGTTTCTCTAATTCAGTGAAAACTTGGTACCATAGGAACCAGCGATAACGGACACGGACTGAGAGGCTACAGGGTGGTGCAAGAACTTGGCTAGTCCAAAATCAGCGATATGGGCCTCAAAGTTTCCATCTAGCAATATATTATTGGATTTACCTTTAATTTCTATTTGAATCATTAATTGTTTTTTGTTTCTGAAAGAAATGTCACTAATAAGTTAAACCCAATCTTAATAACATTAAATATAATATGCGATGTCCATTATTTAAAATATTTTAAAATCATATATCATCACATAAAATGAAATAAAAATTAAAATATTTATTTATGGGATATATTTTTCTTATGTTGTAGGAAAAAAAATTATCTCATGTTGTAGAAATAAAAGTATAAGTGGGACCCACAAGTAAGAGGAGGGAGAAAAAAGAATCGTGAGACCCAACCTCTTTTTGTGTGTGTAGGAAAATTGTTTATCTCATATAAAATGAGATAAACAAAACCCTTTATTTATTACCTTACTTGAATTCAATTCATACACGAATAGTCGAATACTAACTATATGCGCAAGAAAGTGGAGTGAAATATAAAAGAAGAGAAATCGATATCTATATGATATTAATAATTTCCAGAAAAATAGAATTAATTTTAGTTTGAGTCTTTAAAATATTAAATATCTAGTATCCGAATATTCATTATTTAAAATTCAGATATTTCAAACACGTTAGGTGTTTTCAGTTTATATTTGAAGAATGTAGTTTTTTATTTCCAATGAATTGGATATATAGGTTGTGTTAAGGAATAATTTGATTTGTTTTGATTTATAAATCGATTCTTATATTTGGAACTCATTATAAAAAATAAATTTGGATTAATTTTGAAATCAATTCTTATATGTGAAATTCAATAAAATTGGAACTGATTTTATTTTATTTTATTTTATTTTATATTTTAACTATTGTATAAAGTAAAATATAAAAGTTAATAAACGTGAAATAGTTTATTTATTTAAAACTAAATAAAATTCTAATAAATCCTATAGTATTTGACATGTTTTTAAAACTAAATTAAACTGTTTACTAATTTGAATATTCTAAACATAAGTTGTTTTTTGGTACAATGAAAAAAGAAAATAAACTAGAGACTCGTGACCTCATCAAACAAAGCCACACTAGTAGCGGGGAAAGACGGGGAAAGATGGTGCACAATGCATGTAAGCAGCGGCGGAGACAAGGGGAGGCTAAAGTGGGCGGCTGCCTCCCTCTCCAAAAAATTGAAAAAAAAATTAGTGCAATTAAAGGTCAAATATAGTACTGTTGTGATTGTTAAATGTGCTTCTTTTGAAAGTTCTGGTTTGAGATCCAAGTTGAAATCTAACTCCACTTCACCTAATGTGTGTGTTATGTGTAACCTTTTCTACATTTTCTTTTTTATTTTCATATGCTATGTTTTGGTTAATGAAAGCTTTGGCCTTTTTGCCACCTTTTTGCGTTCTTTTCATTTGCATTTGCATGGTTGTGTTTCTCTTTGTGTAGTAGTTTCATATAGAGAAATTGAATTTGCTGTAACTTAACAGATTCACTTTTTTGGGCAACTTGGTTGCGGTCTTTTATTTTATTTTATTTTAAGAAAATTTAGTTAAAAGTATTGTTTTAGTTAAGGCACTCTATTTTTTTAATTATTGCTTTAAACTACTTTTTATGTCTGTTGGACCTGACTAATAGTACATTTTTTCAGTCTTTCAAATGTTGTTAAATGTTAATATTTTGGTAAGAAATTACCTAAATGAGTTCGTACGAGGTTAATAGGTAAAAAAAATACTAATATATGAAGACAAAAAATTAATTTTCGCCTCCACTCCCATTCAATCCTGGCTCCGCCATTGCATATAAAAGTCCAACTTCGCCATGTATCAAAACGCAATATTTGATTATAAATCAAAACATATCATTCGGAATCAGTCATAATCAAAACACACCGGTTGAAATTCGGTTTCGATTTTAGTTTTTAATTAAGGGAATCGATCAAATATTAAAAGGTCTATATTTTGGACCTTTTTATATTTCCTCCCTTACTCTATTCACTCTTGTGAACTATAGCTTGGTAATTAAATTCAAATTTCAATTGTGTATAAAAAAAAAATCAAATTTCAATACGAGTATTTGCACACACATATTAGTTCACCTAGTAGCAATGTTATAAAAATCGACCGATCCGGCCGGGTCGACCCGAAAACCGGTGAATCGATTATGTAACCGGTCTGGTTTTCATATTGGACCGGCCATGTTACAGAACCGGTGTGACCCGGTCGGTTCAACCGGTGACCCGACCCGGTTTATAAAAAATAACTAATTTATTTTCATAAATTAATGTCTTTTTTTTTTACTCTTAAATACAAATGGTTTGTTTTCTTTTGAAATATTTGAGTGATTTGTAGCTTATTAACTTACATAGATTATGTACCTACAACACTAATATTATCTTGATTATGCAATATGCAGACAATTTTGATTTGATTTATAGTTAGAGATGTCGTTTACTGAACCTGAAACACTAGTATCACAAATATTATATGTTTGATTGATCTTTTGTTGGACAATGATATGTAATTTATTATTTTCATATTAAAATATTTGAAATTAGTATATTTTTTTACAAGTATTTAAGTATATTTATAGTTTTTTTAATATAAATTGTAGATTTACATATACTTACTGGGTCATGCGGTTGAACCAGTGACTCATTGGTTGAACCGATGATCCAGTGACCAAGTACCTCGACCGGGTCAATAACCTTGTCGGGTTTAATAACATTGCCTAGTAGTGATATTTGCCCAATTTTTTAATATCATAAACTGGAGATATATTATTTTACCTATTTCTCTTTCTGCATAATTTTGCCTACCATTCTTTAATATTATTAGATTAAAATCCTAACTACCTTTATTATTTTTCTCTTTTATTAAGATTTTGATATAAGAGGGATAAACAAAGATAAATAGAATAATCTATTCCCATAAACTATTATGTCATTGCATATAATTTTTATCAGAACTTATGTTTAATCTTTTCTCCAGTGTCTGTGACTGTTCCTGAATCCTGATCATAATATCAGGGTTTTCGCAAAAGCCCACTCTATGAACATTACCTATTTTTAAGAAGAACCCAATTAAAATTAAAAAAGTATGCTAAGATTCAAATTTATGCCAAAATTCAAATAGTCTAACTTATTATTCTCTTCCAGCGATATAATATATCAGAAGCATTCGTTGAATATTCTTCCTCTCATCTCTAACTTATTTAAAAAAAAAAAAAAGCCAAAAAGGAAGACATAAAACACTTGACTTCAAAGCAGAATAGAATAAAATAAAATAAAATAAAAAAGGAGTCATTTGTTTTGATAAGGTTCACAGAGAGGTGACAATGTTCTTGATCTTCCATTTGTTGATATAAAGATAGAATTCAGATTGAAGTCTGTTGTTCAACCTAACAGGCGCTTCCGTATCTGCAAGGACACTAATAACTTTAGTCAAGATTTAATAGCAATAACTAACCTTTTGCACTAATAAGGCAAATGTTGCAATTCTTTTTTTTTTTTTTTTGGAAACTCAAATGTTGCAATTCTAGTTGAAATGAATGGAAGGAGTGTACGATGATGAACATGAACATGCCTGAGGCAGTTTCTGTCGGAAAATGACATCCAGTCGCGCATCAAGGGTGTTTTCCAACACTATCTTCCCATCCTCCGAGGCCAATACTACTCCTCCGGAGCTTCATTGAAACAATCAAGTAGAGAAACAAGGCAAGTCATTTACTTAAGCTTAATTAGGTGTTAGTATAATACTGGTAAGAATAGTTATAATATGAAATTTTTTTTTTTTTTCTGTTTCTTGAGTCACTTCAATTGACGTGAAGAAAGAAAAAGAACAATTTTTTATATTATAATTATGTCTTACTAATAAAATATAGCGTTCAAAACTAAAAACACATAACTTGTGTCCTTTAAAATAATATACACTTAACCCATACTATATAATCTTGTTTATTTTAAAATGTTTTAGAAAAAAAAAAAAAAGACTCTGATAGGCAAGGATTTGAATAATCTTTTGTTTCAAAACAAGAAAAAGTGAATTAAGTTAACGAGATAAAATGACCCAATAAACTATCATATATTTCTCTATGAAGATAGTGTAAGAAAATACACTACCACAAGTTTAAAGGCAATATTAACAACAACAAAAAATGTCATAGAAATTAGCAACTAATTAAAAAGTAATTCATGTTAATTATTAACAGAATCAAAAGGAGATACCAAAAAGGTTCATGGGAATCCACGGCACTGTTTTTTGGAGATGGTGGGAGGTAAACACGATCATCAAGGGTAATCTTAGGGGATTGCAAGTTGGCTTTCTCCGAGTATTCTTTTTTGGCTTCCTCTAGCAATGACTCAACTAGCTTACGGTCACCCTCTCTGCATCGTAGTATCACTGATGGTTCCCTCAGGCGCATTAAACCCTACAACATGGGCAACAAATTAACATTGTTCTTGTCACTTGAGCTAGCTTAATTAACATTTTGTTTTTCATATATATAATTGCATGTCAATCAATAATCTTAATCACGAGCTTCAATAAAGAAACTACAAAGAGTGAAATTAAAATTAACATTTTGTGTTATTGTGCAAAATATATAATATTACTCTGCTTTAAATACCTGAACAATCATGTCTTTCATGAGTTTCTTATATGCTTTCTTATCATTCGAGACACGTAAAAGCGCCTTTTTAGCAGCATCCTTCATAGAATTCACAGCCTCATCTTGTGCTTGAAGTACTTTTATACGGGATGCATTCAGCTGCATTGAGTATTCACTGCTCATGCAATTATCAAGTTTCGTATAAGATTTCACAATTCATGATTGAAATAAAATTTATAATTTCAAAGGTTCTAAAAGCAAGGTTAATCTTTATAGAGTAAATACCATTTTCGGTCCTCACCAAAAATTTTAGTCATTAGCAAATAAAAAGGCTATTCGTGGTCTCTAAGAAATTCAAAATTGACCCATTTTAATCCTTCTGAATGACTAATATGGGTCTTTTTTTAATTTGTGATAGACCACGATTTCAACTAAATAAGTTCATTTTGAATTTCTTAAAAACCACGAATAGTCTTTGTATCTGTTAAGGAGTAAAAAATTTGGTGAGGACCAAAAAGTTACTCATCTTTATATATATTGTTTAATCTTGATCAGGTCGTATGAAAATGAAACGAACAAACTCACATCTTTCTGCGAACATCAATTTGTTTGGCTTTTCGCTCGTACTCTTGTCTGATCTTTCTCTTTTCAGCTTCGAGTAAATGCAGTTTCTCAATATTGAATTCCTATAAGGAATCAGAGTAATAATCAACCAAACATTGATATTAATAAAATATACTGCAAAATCTAGCATTGTTGTTGATAACATTTGAGTTTTATATCATTGATAGAAAACGTTCATAAATATATATTATTAATTAAACAAACCTCCTCAGCAGCGACAGATATTTCATTAGCTTTCTCCTCAGCTTCTTGGCGGATGAACCTAATCATCTGTTGGATCTGCTTTGACACATCTGCATCCTTCATCTTTCCTTTTCTTTTGTTTTCTGACAGAACCTAGAACAATGTGAAAACAACCTCGGTATTAATTTTATTGGTAATTTCTCAAAAAAAAAAAAACAGATACAGAAAAGAAAAAGTGGTATCTTTGCCACCTATAATCAATTGTCTTCTCCAAACCCAGCTGCTGGAATGGAAGTGTAACTATTATGATTCCTTACAAGATAATTGCAAGATTTTTTATGTAACTAATTTTTAGTTTTGTACATGTGTTATAATAAATAACAGTGGTGGAATTTTAAAAATGAGAGGAAAAAAAAATAAAATGCTAATAAGTTGCCTTCATCCGCGCTTTGTTTTCAGTCTGTTATGGGATTGGATCTTGAACAGAAATATTCTAAATATGGAACATTGAACAAGCAAACCAAGGATAACAAAAATTAAAGAGAAAATCAAATGTTGTAAACTCAAGACAAGATCCACCTTTCATATAATTTAATTATACTAATATTTTTTTGTCCACTAAAATGCTACTCTTTCTTCTTGAGCGAATTACAGGACCACATGAGTTGACACATCAGCAATTTCTAATTTCTATTAGGAATTTTGTAACTTTACCTTACTTCTGGAATTTAGGAAAAAGTATGGAATAGTGATGTAAGTTTTTGGCATAAATGATCAGCAAAACACGAAAAAAGTATTACAATCAGAGCAGCTGGAATTTAGAAAAACCAAAGTAAGTCTTAGAATCTGAATCGATCCACATTAACCAGAATAAGGGAATTTAGAAAAACCAAAGTTAAGTTTCTACACACAGTGAGTTTAAATATGACATCACCAATCTAACTAACTAATCCTAAACTGAAGGAAAAGGCCCAGTACAAATAAGCCCAATTAACATATAAGCCCAGGCAGTAAATAAAGCTAACTAACTTGAAACAGAAAACAGAATGCTACATCAACACCCCCCCCCCCTCAAGTTGGAAGGTGAATATCCTTAAACCCCAACTTGTCCATGAAGTCATGAAAATGAGTAGGATGAAGGGCTTTGGTAAACATGTCTGCAAGCTGTTGAGATGAGACAATAGGTATCAAATGAATCAGTCCTTGCAGAATATGATGGCGTGTAACATGACAATCAAGCTCTATGTGCTTACTTCTTTCATGAAAGGAAGGATTATGGGCCAAATGAACTGCAGCATGATTGTCACAATAAAGCATAGCAGGACCAGAAACGGGAACACGAAGATCATGTAAAATATAGGTGAGCCATTGGATCTCACAAGTCAAAGAGGCTAAGGCACGGTATTCTGCTTCAGCGGAGGATCGACTCACAGTGGTTTTCTTCTTGGATTTCCAAGAGATCAAAGAGGTGCCAAGAAAGACACAAAACCCAGTAATAGAGCGACGAGTATCCAAGCATGTGGCCCAATCAACATCACTGAAACCAGAAAGTGTAAGAGAGCTACTAGAAGAGAAGAATAACCCCTTGCCAGGAGACCCTTTTAGATATCTGAGTACTCGAATGGCAGCATCAAAATGAGCTATCATTGGGTAAGCCACAAATTGGCTAAGCTGTTGCACAGCAAAAGATATGTCCGGTCGAGTATTAGCAAGATACAATAGACGCCCCACAAGTCTACGATATGATGCAGGATCAGCACAAGGATCACCTTGATTCTGACATAAACGTAGGGTAGGCTCCATTGGTGTGGAGGCAGCCTTGGCCCCAAGCAAACCACTATCGGCAAGCAGTTCTAGAACATATTTCCGTTGATTAACAACAATTCCATGAGGTGACCAAGCTATTTCAAGACCAAGAAAAAATTTCAAAGGTCCTAAGTCTTTGATGCAGAACTGTTGATCAAGGTGTTGTTTAACAGAATTGATCTCATCCATATTGTCACCAACCAGGACCATGTCATCAACATATACCAGTAATGCAGTAAAAGTACCATTGCTAACCTTGGTGAATAAGGAGTGATCAGCTGAAGATTGGGTGTATCGAAGGAGCAGAAGTTCAGTGGTGAGACGAGCATTCCACTGACGACTAGCTTGCTTAAGCCCATAGAGTGATGTTTGGAGTTTACATACTTGGTTTGGAGAGGGAGGAGAGACCCCATCTGGAACAGACATGTAAACTTCTTCTAGGAGGTCACCATGGAGAAAAGCGTTGTTAATATCAAGTTGTTCCATGAAAAAGCCACGAGCTGCAGCAACTGCTAATAGCAACCGAATAGTGGTTAGTTTTGCAACAGGGGAGAAGGTTTCAAAATAGTCTACACCTTCCATTTGATTATATCCCTTCGCAACAAGACGTGCCTTGTATCTAGAAATGGAGCCATCTTGATGAGGTTTGATTTTGTAGACCCATTTAGAGCCAATTGGACGTTTACATGAGGTAAATCTACAAAAGTCCAGGTTTGATTTTTGTTTAAAGCATGTATCTCTTCAGCCATGGCAGTAACCCATTCACTAGATTGTGATGCCTGTTTGTATGTGTGAGGTTCAATGAAAGAACTAATGTTGTGACAGAAAGATGAGTGTTCAGCTGAACACTTGGTGTAAGAAAGCACTGAAGAAATTGGATGATCAGTAGAAACAGCTGAATTGTTGCACAAGTAGTCTTGTAGATGTTTTGGTGGAATGCTTAACCTGTTGGACCTTCGGGGAACAGTAGGAAGTTGAGAGTGATCATTAGATAATATATTTGCAGGTATAGATATAGAAGAATCATCACTACTGTCATTGGTTGATCCATCATGTTGTGGTGTATCACGCGGAGTAGGCGCACTGTCAGATAAATGATCTGCTGCTAATAATGGCTGATGAGTAAGAGCTGGTGGAGATATAGGAGTGTCTCTACTGCTGCTGTGTGGTGCATCATATGTAACAGAAGACTCAATTACAAATGGTAAGCATTGAACATTACCTGAGTGTTCTGTAGATTGATCAGTTGAAAAGGGAAAGAAACCTTCATGGAAAATCACATTTCTTGAAAGGAAAATCTGCTTAGATAACACATCATACAATATGTATCCTTTTACTCCATCTTTGTGACCTAGATAGAGGCATTTCCTAGCTCTAGCATCAAATTTAAGACGCCCACTGACAGTGGTTGAGGCAAAAGCTAAACACCCAAATACTTTAAGATGAGTAAGTATTGGTGGCTTATTATATAGCAACTCATAGGGAGATTTGTTGTGCAAGACAGGTGAACTAAGCCGATTAATAAGATGTATGGCATGCATAATACAATATGACCACATACTCTTTGGAATATTACTTTGAAAAAGTAAGGCTCTGGCAATATTTAATATATGCTGATGCTTCCTCTCCACTGTTCCATTTTGCTGTGGAGTCTCAATGCATGTGGTTTGATGGACTATTCCTTTTTGAGCAAAAAAACTCATTCATTAAGAATTCTTGCCCATTGTCACTTCGAAAAGTTTTGACAGTAATACCAAACTGATTTTCAATGAGTGTAACAAAGGATCTAATGTGATTTCTGGTTTCAGCTTTAGATGTCATAAGTATGCCCCAAGTAAACCGTGTGTGATCATCTACTATAGTCAAAAGGTATCTATGCCCATGAATGGATGGAATCGAGTATGGCCCCCAAATATCAATATGAACTAAATCAAAAGCTGAACTTGAAATACTGGAACTAGTATTGAAAGGTAATTTCTTCTGTTTAGCTAAATGGCATATGTCACATGGATCATCTGTATCTTTACAAGAAATGAAAGGGTGTTGAGCTATCATGGCTCTTATTACAGACTTTGAGTAGTGTCCTAATCGAGAATGCCATATATCAATGGTTGAAGACTGCATTGTTACTTTCTTATTCTGAGCAGTATTGCCCCATAGTCCTTCTCCCTTTGTGCCATCAGAATTGCTGCAATGTTGATTGAGGATATAGAGACCTCTCTCTAACTTAGCTGAACCAATTGTTAGCCTGGAAGGTATTTGCTGAATGATACATTGAAGATGCTGGAAAATCACAGTACAATTAGTGTCTTGAATCAATTTATTTATTGAAATCAAATTGACCTTGAATTCTTCAACATATAACACATTTGTCAATGTTAAAGTCTTGGAAAGAATAACAGTTCCAGAATGAAAAGATAACACCTGTTTTCCATTAGGTAGAGTGATAGCTATTGGTTCAATCTTTTGAATGTATGACAAACTGTCCATGGAATGAGTGATGTGATCGGTTGCTCCAGTATCTAAAATCCATTGAATTCTAGATTTACCTGAAGATGAATCAGTGGTCTCAGCATTGAGGACCTTAGCTTCTACCATGTTGCTGATATGAGGGGAACCTTGTTGCACGGATTGTTGTATCATTCCAAGGATGGTTTGATACTGATCCTTTGTGAAGGCTTCTTTAGAATCTGGTTGCAAAGCTGCATGATGGTGTGGAACAGTAGGATCATGATTCTGGTTTACATCAACCACATTGGCCTTGTGTGCTAAATTTGGCCTATAATCAAAACTTGGCCTGTAATCAGTATTTCTCTGTTTGAAACCTGGTGGATAGCCATGCTTCTCAAAGCATGTCTCCACTGTATGACTTGTCCTTCCACAATAAGTACACAATCTATTTGAACCTGTTCTCCCTCGACCAACATAGGATCCACTTGCTTGATAAGGTTGTGATCGTCCTCTACCTTGATCAGCAGAATTGTAGAAAGTTTTTGGACCTTCAAAATTAAGAGAGTTACCTTCTAGTTGCAAATGTCTCTCTTGTTGTATGACCATCGAGAAAACTCGATTAATTGATGGCAAAGGATCCATCAACATAACCTGAGACCTTACATGACTGAATCGTTCATTTAATCCTTTAAGGAAGCGAATAGAGTAATCTCTTTCACGAATACTCCTAACCTTCAAAGCAATTGAACAACAAGGTTTAATGCATTTGCATGTTGGTGTTGGCTGTAACGCTTCAAGCTCATCCCATAGGATCTTGAGTCGTGTGTAGTAATCAGAGATGCTACTGTCTCCTTGATGCATCCTATAAATCTCATCCTGTAGATCTGAGATTTTGAAGATATCTGACTGAGAGAACCTCTCTCGGAGGTCGTTCCATACATCTGAGGCTCGATCCATCCATAAGATCGACTGTGAAATAGATTGAGTTATGGAGTGATGTAACCATGACAGCACCATGGTGTTACATCGTTCCCATGCAGCGAAATAAGGATCAGAAGGATCTGGAACAGAGATAGTTCCATTGGCAAAAGAGAGTTTATTCTTCGATATTAAAGCCATTTTCATAGATCTGGCCCAATTGTGGTAGTTCTTTCCATCCATGAGTGAAGATACCAAGACTAAAGAAGGATTCTCATTAGGATGCACATAGTAAGTGCTACCTGGATTTGAAGGATCATCAACGATCGGAACATGTGTTGCAGAAGGAAAAATCTGATTTGTAACAATCGGTATTCGATTTGTTACATTCTCTTGATTTATGTCGGAACTCTGATTCGCCATCTATTCACTTCAGTGAGTGCATGCAAGCTAAATCAAGAACGAATTGAAAACGAGAAATAGGAAGAGAAGAAGTTCGCAGAACGCAAACAAAGAACGGCGAATATCAGAGCTCCGATCAGAGCTCTGATACCATCTTAGAATCTGAATCGATCCACATTAACCAGAATAAGGTAATGAATGAAAAATCAGTTAAGTTTCTACACACAGTGAGTTTAAATATGACATCACCAATCTAACTAACTAATCCTAAACTGAAGGAAAAGGCCCAGTACAAATAAGCCCAATTAACATATAAGCTCATGCAGTAAATAAAGCTAACTAACTTGAAACATAAAACAGAAACAGAAAACAGAATGCTACATCAACAGTAAGTAGGCACCCTGAGACTAAACACTTCCAATGCACGAATATAAAAAAAGTTGAAAATGATTAACATCATTAATCAGACTATTTAATGCACAAGACCAAGATATCATCACGACGGGTAAGAAGCCTCGTTGTAATCCTACTACACAGCATTGCATTCACTGCTGCACACAACCAACAACCAACGAAATGATTTGGTTTTTAAATAACTCCATTCGAATATTCATGTCGCTTAAGCAGTTAAGCTGAGTTGGATCATAAAGACTCTAAAAAACATTATAAAGGGTATATCACCACCATCTTCCATTCACAAACATGATTGCATCAAACTATCCACTCATGTTCGGAAACACAAAACTTATCCCATCAAATAGTTAATTAGGAATAAAGACACAAATTGCATTAAAAATGGAAAAAGCAAAAATTATATCGAATAAACTACTGACTACTAGAAGGGTACAAAAACAGCTGCCAGTCACCAGATTGATTAGCCGATAACTACAGATTTATTCCACTTTAGTCCTCATTTTCCTTCTTTTTTCCTTTCTTTTTGCTTGGCATTTCAGCTGATTCTTCTTGCTCTGCGTGCTTTTTACTCTTTTTCTTCTTTTCTCCTCCATTCAAATTGTTGTCCACTTCCCATTCGGCAACTCAACATATTCTCAGTAGAATCCTTCCTCTTTTTCTTCTTTTCCTTTTTCACAGCTTCATGCTCTGGTTCCTCACCAGCATCTCCATCAGCTTTCAAAGTTGCATCATCCTCTTCATTTTTCTCCACCTTCTTTGACCTCAGATATAATAAAAAAAGATTTGATTGGACCATTACTTAATAACTTAACATTTTGGGTTAAATTGGTTTTATATATCTATATTCATTTACTTTTACATGCAATAAGCAACTTCAATCACAAAAAAATTATAAGGACGTTATGTATCACATATTGGACATGTACAGTTTTAGATTAATTCTTTTGTACAAAACTATTTGAAACACAATCAATCGGGTAAAAGCCTTTTCTATAACAAAATTCAAACCTATTTTACATTTGATGGTACAACACATTTGACTTCTTGTTTCACTTCTCACAAACTATAGATGACAGTCATTTGCACAGTTTTACTTCTGTTTTAATAAATTATTTTCAAAGAAGTAAACCTCAAATCAGCAAATAGCTTAGGCTACCTAGAGACTAATTAGGTTCAACGGTAGACAGAGGAGGGTTAGTGAGCATATGGACGACTTCCCTCATGGTAGGCCTGGCGGGCCCCATTTCTTTAACACACATCATAGCTACGTTGTACATGTGGATGACACTTGTCAACGGGTATTCAGTTAGCCTGGGGTCCACCACTGCCAACACTATTGCTTCATCGGACGGCTGAGACAGTTCTAATTTGGTATTATTCACCCATCCAACGATGTCCACACCATCTCCGAAGTCACCCACCGGCTTTCTTCCCACTATCAACTCTAACAGCACCACGCCAAAGCTATACACATCGCTTTTCTCATCCACTTTCAGCGTGTAAGCATACTCTGCTCAACCATTCAACAAGTTCATCAATTAGAAACAAATCCAATTTCTAAGACATAACCTTTGCCATATCCAAATTAAAATCTTAATATCTTGTTAATTATACCTGGAGCAATATAACCATAGGAGCCAGCGATAACGGACACGGACTGAGAGGCTCCAGGGTGGTGCAAGAACTTGGCAAGTCCAAAATCAGCGATATGGGCCTCAAAGTCTCCATCAAGTAATATATTATTGGACTTGACGTCCCTGTGAATGATAAGAGGAGAACAATCATGGTGCAAATAGCAGAGTCCCTTAGCTGCTTCAACCGCAATCTTGTACCTCATCTCCCACCTCAAATGCCCAACCTTTGGACCATGCAGCCATTCTCCCAAGCTCCCATTTGGCATGTATTCATACAGCAACAAGTTTGAGTCCTTTTTCGAAAGGTACCCCAGAAGCTTTATGATATTCCTGTGCCTTATCCTTCCTAGTGTCTCTATCTCCGCCTTGAATCCGTAACGTCCGTTTCGTCCAATTCCTGTTCCAACCAAACGTTTTATTGCTATGTCTGTTCCGCTTGGCATGGACCCTCTGTACACGATCCCTGCTCCTCCATTACCTATTATATTCTCCTCTTTCAGGCAATTCTCCACGTCTACTGCTTTGAAGTCGAGTCTCTGGAAGGCTGTGAGCTTCCACGCCATTGCTCTGTGGCGCTTTCTCTTCCTCGTCATGTACACCGTAACCAACACCAGGAGCATGGCGGTGACGAGTGCAATCACAATGACGATCACCCTCGTGATTGATTTGGCATGTCGTTTCCTCAACCCGACGTCGTATGGGCAAGAGGCCTGGAGGGGGGAACAGAGGTTGGGGTTCCCCGCAAACGACTTGTCGTTGAAGACTAAGAACTGCCCCCCGTTGGGGACCCTTCCAATGAAATTGTTGTTGGAGAGATCCAGCGTGACGAGACTCGTCATGAATTGAATCTCGTCAGGGATTTTACCAGATATGTGGTTCCTTGATAGATTCAAGATGCTCAAGTCCATGAGGTTCTTTATCCCTTTTGGAACCTCGCCGGACAGCATGTTCCGACTCAGATCAACGGCCGTCAGTGAAACACAATGAATCATCGTCGTTGGAATTTCACCTGTGAGATTGTTGCCACTTATGTTGATCTTCGTCACTGTTGGTAATTCAAAAATCTCCTCTGGAATTTCGCCAACGAACTGGTTCGCGTCGAGGGACAGAGTCTGTAATTTTCTGAGGTTTTTCAACGCAGGCGGGATACTCCCCGTGAGTAAGTTGTTGGAAAGAGTGAGGATCCCGAGATAATCGCCTGAAATCTCGGAAGGCAGTTGGCCGTTGAAACGGTTATTGCCGAGCTCGATTAGTGTAACGGTAGGTAGTTTGAAAATCCCCGAAGGAAGCTGCCCGTCCAAGAAGTTATCGGCAAGTCGAATCTTGAAAAGAGACTTGCAATCGCCGATCTCGTTTGGGATTGGACCGTAGAAGAAGTTATCGGTGAGCATTAACGTTCGCAACCTCCCTCCTTTGCACAAATCACGAGGGATCAATCCGGTGAGGAGGTTGTTGCTGACATCAAAAAACATGAGCTTCCCATTTTGGCCAAGTTTCTGTGGCAGAACGAAGGAGAAGTTGTTCTCCCAAACCTGAAGCGTTGTCAGATTGGGAAGTTCGGCGATGAAGTTGGGGAGGGGGCCGCGTAGCTTATTCTGGAACAAGTTCATGAGAACAAGGTTTCTGAGCTGAGAGAGACTCTCCGGAATCTCACCGGTGAGGTTGTTGATGGAGAGGTCCAAAGACACGAGGCTGATCATAGAAGAGAGCTCCGGCGGAATGGTTCCGGTGAGATTGTTTACTTGCAAGAACAAGGTGTTCAGGTTTGTCAAGTTGCTCAGGCTCGATGGAATCTCGCCGTTCAAGTTGCAGCTAGACAAGTCAAGAAGCTGAAGAGATTTCATGGAACCAAGCTCTGCTGGGATTCCACCTTCGTAAGCATTGTCGTACCCGAGATACAGTTTCTTCAGCGTCTTCAGCCGACTCAAGCTCTTTGGAATCTTGCCACTTAGACTGTTAGTGCTTAAGCTCAAATACTCCAAGCTCTGAAACTCCGAATAACTCTCCGGTATATTGCCAGAAAAATAGTTACCAGAGAGCATGAGGTACTTGAGTTTCTCCAGTTTGACGATTTCCTCGGGAAGTGGTCCCGTGAAGTTGTTGTCGTAGGCGTCGAGGGACTGCAGTTTGGTCATGGAGAGAGTGATTTCGCCAGGGAATTGGCCGGAGAAGCCGTTGTGGGAAATGTTGAGGAACTTGAGAGAAGTGAGATTGGCGAGCTCCTTCGGAAGCTGGCCGGTGAGTTTGTCCTGAGCGATGGTGAGATTCTCCAGCTTGTCCAAGAATCCGATCTCAGGAGTAACATACCCGAAGAGTGGAACAGAGGACACATTGAGAGCAATCACTCGCAGGTTTTGGTCGCATGTTATCCCTGAAAATGAACAGTGCGCCGAAACTGACGTAGAAAACTTCCAGTCTTGAAGCGCATCGTTTTTGGCTCTCTTTCCCTTCATGGATTCCTTCAGCTTCAGCAGCGCATCCATATCACTTAATGAAGAGCACACCGTTACGCCGAACCAAATCAAGGAAACACACAACAGCATATAACACACACCGCTTCTCATGTCTATGCTTGTTCGCTCTCTCTCTGTTGCTTCGTCTCATATACCTAGACCTAGTATGCACTTGGCGTTCTTATTTGGGTACCACACAACACCACATGCACTAGTCTATTGATATACGCCGATATATAAAACACTTGACAGTATATCATAGTGGCATGCAATACTAGTATTTCTACGCAACGAACAAAAAGACATTCGAAGTGGATGCCAAGAATAAAAATATATATTTTTTAATATGCGTCAAAATATTGATATTTTTAAACCACTCAATCCACTAAGTTTGTGAAACATACCGATTAAAACTTCTGTTTTCCACTAAATCATTGGGTGGGTCTCATCTAGTCTAATATCCATTCTATATTATTATAAGACCAAATATCTTCGTAATCACACCAAATAATTACTTTTTAACATGATACTTCATCATATCTCAGGACGACACCCTAGACCAATTTCTAAGGTGATCGTATTAATTCTAAAGGTGGAGATCCTTGATTATAATTTGTTTAGAGGGGAAAAAAATTAGATAAACTCTATCTATCATAAATGTTTTATTCCGTAATTATTATGTATACATTATTCTTTAGATATAATTTCTATATTTTTAATATAACTAGAATAATCTTAAGCAGCACCTTTAATATTAAATGGATTGTTATGTATACATGCACTCTTTTAATTTGATTGATAAACGTATCTGATTGGTTAACAATTGATGGCGTATAATGTAATATTCTTGCCGCTGGTTGTTAAGTGCACTCCTATGTTGAACATGGCTTTTTGAAGACAAAGATGCAATCTCTTTGTAACCATTAAAAGAGGTTTTAGCTTTTCACAAGCCACTAGGACACTTTGGAATGAAACTAAAGCTGTTTTCGATTACTAAAAAAACAGCTGTTTTTCGTGTTTCATCAAATAAATAAATAAATAAAAGTTGTTTTACGTGGAAGCCTTCCTACCGTGCTTTGGTATGTTACTGGGATAGTTCAGAACCGTAAAGTTGTTGCTCATGAAAAGGCAAAGCATCATTTCTCTGTTGTTAAGTTCTTTTAACAATCATCCACTAGATATTGCAGAATCGTATTCTATATGTGATTAGAGGGTAATAGGGTATTGTGTGCGCATATAAAAATTTAAAAGGAAGTTTTTTTTTTTTTTATCATAAGTGGGTTCTGTCGAAACATTTTTAACTTCAATGTAAATTACCATTTTGGTATTTTCAGAAGATGTTATATTCTCTTCCTGAGTTAGTCTGTCGCGGTCGCTACTAGTCCTAGTGCCGGAATGGTCTACAGTACAAAAGAATATTTATAAAACATATTCTGAAAATTAAGTAGGTATATTAGTCTTAGCAATTTTAACAGTAAACAAAGAAACTGTACTATAATGATTTTACGCTGATATGGTTTGGTGCAAGTAAAAGAGTTGGGAGCAGAGGACATCTTTTCCGACTCCCAGTTGGTTACTTTACACATCAATGGAGAATATCAAGCCTGTAAAGAATTCTGCTTCAACCCAAAATCTTAAGGTGTTAATGATTTATATTATTTTCTAACATACCCTCTCGTACAAGAGTTATTTGGCCTTGAAGTGTGAATATTGCACAAACTCAATTTCTTGGTTTCTTTTTTTAATTCCAGTCAAAAGTGGGGACGGTGAGAATCGAACTCGTGACCTTGTGGTACCCAAGCAAGCTCTGATACCATATAAAGAATCACTTCAACCCAAAATCTTAAAGTGTTAGGTAAGAGCTTTTTTAATGGTTTATATTACATATGAATGCAAAATACCTGAGTAGGGTCCAAGAACTCTTGAAGCAGTTTGGAAAAGTTGAAGTGAAGGCATATCCCCGGGCAGAGAACACGTAAGCAGATATCCTAGCTAAAATAATCAGTCGGTAGTACAATATAATTTGGCTGTGCCATGCGTGGATTTGGCAATTTTTGTAAAAGATAACTGCATGACGCCGACAAAAAAAGTGTTTTTGGAACATGAAGATTTACCTACAGATCCAAAGGTAGCGAAGAAGATGACAAGAAAAGCAACCAACTATGAGATGTTGGATGACCAGCTGTATCGAAGAAGTTTTCTTCTCCACTTATGAAATGTTTGGCAATAAAAGAGGTTACTTATGTTTTGGATGAAGTTCACGAGGGCATAAGCATACACCATTTAGAGGTTACTTGTAAAGAATCTTGGGATACACCACCCCAAAAGCTAGCTCAAGGGTGGGAGTGCCCAAGGCCTTATAAAGGCCATATTAGTTGTCCATCCAATCAATGTGGGACTATATATCTCAACACGTCCCCTCCTTCACGCAAGAGCCCTTTAGGCTAGAAGCGTGGAAATTGCACAGGCCCATTTTTGGTTTACCTTTTTGTGCTTTTTTTATTTTAATTCCACTTTTTAAAGCGGGGGACGGTGAGGCTCTGATACCATGTAAAGAACCTTGGGATACACCACCCCAAAAGCTAGCTCAAGGGGTGGGAGTGCCCAAGGCCTTATAAAGGCCATATTAGTTGTCCATCCAATCAATGTGGGACTATATATGGACACATGATTTCTGATGAAACACACCATTTTCAGTGAATAATTCAGCCATCTTATGAGAAGTAAATTCCGTGCCATTATCTGTCCGAACTGATTTAACCGTTGTATTAAACTGATTTTGCACCATTAGAAGGAATTTTCGCAGAAATAAATACGTTGCACTTTTATCATTCATTAAGCAAACTCATACGACACGACTAAAGTCATCAACTATGGTTAAGAAGTAATAAGCACCCGACGAAGAGGGAGTTCTATAAGGACCCCATATATCACAATGAATCAGATCAAATACTTTATTGCTTTTGCGATCACAAATAGGAAAAGAGGATCGAATTTGTTTGGCACGATAACAGACATCGCAAGCCTTTTTATTCATACAGCAAAATTGAAAACCTCTAGAAAAAGAGAGCATAGAAAGTGCTTCAGGTGATGCATGTCCCAACCGCTTGTGCCAAAGCTCTTGTGAATCATTTGAACGTGTTGTGAAGGCTGCTACTTGGCTTGGTCTCAACACATACACACCATCCTTTTGGTCACCCAATCCAATCTCCGTCCTTAGCTTGCGGTCCTGTAACACACAACAATCATGAGTAAACACCACATCAACGTTTTGTTGTCGTATCAATTGAGAAACTGATATCAGATTACACTTTAGATTAGGAACAAATAAAACGTTGGATAAAGAAAAATTGTCAAATAAAACAGATCCTTGTTGCTTTGCATAAGTGACAGCTCCATTAGGTAAAGCTATTGACAAAGGCTCAATGGTCGTAATGTTTGCAAATAAGTCCAGAATTCCTGTCATGTGGCGCGATGCCCCACTATCTATAAGCCAATGTGAATTTTTACCAATTAATTTTTCCTTCGATTGTTGAGGCTGATCAACCAGTGTGAGTAGTTTTGTTACTACATCTGGTGTCAAAACAGGAAAAGCATTTGCTTGCTCAGATGAGTCCTCCGTTTGTGCTGCGTTTGCAGCAAAAGGCTTTGCATAGGAACCTCCTTGTGAGTTGCGCCATCCCCCTTGTGAGTTACTTCTGTAACCACCAAAGCGGCCACGACCTCGCCCCCTTCTACCGTCGCGGCTGAGAGCTTCGCGCCCCTTGCCTTCGTCACGACCAGGGAATCCGAATGCTTGCCAGCAACGCGAGGCCTCGTGATTATTTCTGCCACAATGGATGCATAGAGGATGATCGGCAAACCGGTCCATGGCTGGTGCAGGTGCTTGTACTGCATTTCCAACTTCATCATTACGAGGAGTCCGATTTTGAGTGATAGCTCTGTGAGTCTCTTCCTGGGTCATAATGGCATACACCTTATTCATCGTTGGAAGAGGTGAATTGTTGAGGATTTGAGACCGCAAATTGCCATAGACATCATCAAGGCCCATAAGGAACTTGTATACCTGATCATGTTCCATTTCTTCTTCAACTGCCTTTGCATATGTGCAGTTTGCTCCACACGGACAATGTGTATAAGTTTTGCTGCTGGCGAGCTCATCCCAGACAACGCGTAGCTGCATGTAGTATTCTGCAATGGTGGTACCTTGCTGCCTTATGGTGGCCAAACTAGCCTTGAGTTGGTATTGACGAGTAAAATTTTCGACAGCGTACCTTTCCTTCAGGTCATTCCAGAGGTCTTTTACCTCATCAAAGCACTTAATGAATGGTTGCAATTTCTGATCGATGGTATTGTGTATCCATCCGTTGATCATGGAATTACACATCTCCCAGGCGCGCCACTCCTCTGCTTGCGCCTTGTCAGGTTTCTTAATGGATCCATCAATGAATCCCAACTTGTTTTTTGATTTGAGGGCATTTTTCATGAGTTTTGCCCAGTTCTCATAATTTGCTTCCCCTCTCAACGTAACATTTGTCAAGAGAATGCCAGGATTATCTGAACCGGCGAGATAGAAATGTGAACCCGGGTCTGTGGGTTTCGTTCCACTAGTGGTCATCTTCAAGTAAGACTGAAATCTGCTCACAGCTTTAGAGTTGTGCACGTCTGCGGAAGTGTTTAGGAAAGACAAGCTCTGATACCATGATAAATTGTACAAAAGGAAATTGTTTCCATTAATTCTCTATCTTATGAAGTGAACATGAATACAAATAAATAGGCCTATGGCTGTTCCTGATGGGTGCAACTAATTCCTAAATATATGCAACAGCTAAGATGCTACTATCCTAGAATACATCAGATAACAAAATAAGCTAGGAAAAAGGTATCCTAACAAACTAAGATAACAACCAATCTACAACTAATAACAATCAGATCAGATCGAATCTTCTATTCCAACATTACTACTAGTCGACCCTTGTGCAAGATGGAAAAGAAAAAAAGTAAAGAAATGTGACCAATGTTAGCGCCACGCTGATCTGCACCAAGCTCCCCCTGAAGAGATGTCAATGATTTGAGAGTGCATTTAATTATTAGGCTTCTGACCATCATTTTTTAGGTGATTTCTTAATATAAATAAGAGGATAAAATTGGAAAATAAAAAAAATAACAAAGATAAAAAGAAAAAAAAAATTAGT